TGTGTGTGTGTGTGTGTGTGTGTGTGTGTGTGTGTGTGTGTGTGTGTGTGTGCACATGTACTGTGACTTGTTATTGCAATGTCATTTCATGTAATGCACTCAACCTGTCAATTATGCCTGTTTTTTTAAGAGCTTCCAAATAATCGCCTGGGGAACCATTGGCAACGTCTTCGATTCGCTGTTGCGGTGCAGCTTGGCGGTCTGGCGAGTGTTTTGATAATCACGATGATTCTGTTGTTTTTTTAGAGAATGTTATTTCTTTGACTTTTACTTTGCCTTTCAAAATACTTGCAAAAATAATTGAAATTGTCAGACGCAAGAACTGAAAATTCGTTTACTATGATTCAACCGCACCGCAGCCATTAATATAATTGTTTTAACAAATCGTCTCATTATCATTTGGGGCGCTATCTCAAAAAAGCTTTACAACAAATTTGTGATTTGCGGCTTAGAGCAGATCAAGAAACGTTCTTACGCATGTACATATTTACATACATACATACGTATGTATGTACATATATATGTACATATCTAAAGTCTATGAGCTACAATTTTGCTTTAAAAATACATAAATATTCATACAAATGTATGTATATATGTATGTGTTTCCAGCACATACTGTAGACACGTATGTATGTATGTACATACATTCACAAATGAAGCAGCAACTTTTTTCCAGCAGCTGTTGCTTGCGCTACAATAATATATGTACATACATAAATACATGTACATACATACATACATACAAATGTATACACATGTGTGTGTGCATTTGACAAAAGCAGCGCAGCCGGCGAGCGGTTTGAAAGGGTTTTTGTTGATTGGCTTCTAGTTGGTTCTATGAGATAGCAGCCACCGCTGAAAGCTTTGCCGACACATGCGCCTCTATTTGTGTGTGTGTGTGAGATTGTGTGTTGAAGAACGAGTTTGGCCAAAGAGACGGGGATGTAGACCTTGTCTTAAATAGCACAACGCGTGATGAGCTAGAATCACAACACTAACAACAACAACAGCAATGAGAACAAAGTCTGCTGTGATGCTGGAAGCAATGCTAAGGCGAACACCGGCCGACAGTATTGCGAATGCTTAAGCTCAAGGCGCAAAATACCTATAAAATGTTTCAATCTTATGGAACAGATCACCTTTGAGTTTCGCTTAGTACTATGCTGTGTAACCTGGATATTTAAATAGCAAGCTGATTCTTCCAGGAAAAAAGCTAGATCTAGCGGGTAGCAAGTGAAAGTGACAGCACTGCACCAACAGCTTCTGCTGCACATTCGCACGCAACGAAATGGAAAATGAATAAAGGGGAATTGCACTTGGTCAGTGGGCCAACGAGCTAGCGTCACTTATACAGGCGCAGCCCGGCGATTCGAACGGGAAGCGGCTAAAGATTTCCATAATCGTTATCACGTCCAGACGGTCGTTCAGTTAATTCATCAGCTGTGCGCAGAGTCGAAAGATAAGGCATAGTCCAAGTCGATATGGCCGGTAATACCGGCGGAAGGCATTGACTAAACCTGAGCAGATAAAATAAGTAAACGATATGTAAGCCAGCGGCCCACGTGTTCAATTACGATTCAATGCGGCTTTATTGTTGCAAGTAAGACAGAACTTGTGAAAACTTTCTGCTTAAATTACATGTATACATTTATATATGTGTTGCTTGTAGGGGGAAGGGTTTAGAGCAAGTTAGTACTTGGTACATGTAGAGCGAACTAGCGCTAGATTATCGTTATATTAAAGTATATGGGTGCAGGTGTGTGTGTGTGCTAGTTTGTGTGTATGTGAGCAGCCTCTCCATTTGATGCAAGTGCGACGCAGTTTGATTTCCACTTCGGTATACCCATCTTTCTCCCTTCCATCTAATGGAAGAATATCGCAACGCATCAAATTTAGGCGAATATATATATACATACATATATGGTTAGCTTAGGGTGTGGTGGCAAAGTACTCCTTGGACTTGGCGGGATCGGCCACCATGGTCTTCTGGCCGGGCTTCCAGTTGGCTGGGCACACCTCGCCATACTTGTCAGTGTACTGGAAGGCCTGCACTAGACGCAGTGTCTCCTCCACGCTACGGCCAACTGGCAAATCGTTGATCGTTATCTGGCGCAGATTTTGCTGATCGTCGATGATGAAAAGGCCGCGGAATGGAATGCCAGTTGCCTCATCCAAAACACCATAGTCACGAGATATCTTCATCGACTTATCGGCCAACAATGGAATGTCCATGTTGCCTAGACCACCCTGTTTACGTGGTGTGTTGATCCAGGCCAAATGGGTGAACTGGCTGTCCGTGGAGCAGCCAATCAGCTCGCAATTGATCTTGCGGAACTCGGCCGCATGGTCGGAGAATGCGATGATCTCGGTGGGGCAGACGAAGGTGAAGTCGAGTGGATAGAAGAAGAGCACCAAATATTTGCCCTTATAGTCGCTCAGCTTAATATCCTTGAAGGCGCCATTGACCACGGCGGTACCGGAGAATTCGGGTGCGGGCTTCTGAAGTTGTGGCATCTATGAAAAGGGATTCAAATAAAATTAAGAATTTTTGTATATAATCGAGCGACTCCAGCTGTGGTACAATCGAACCAAAGACCGATCGCTCCACGTAGTTTTTAGAAACATTTTCACTAGCGTGTTTAATGCTGCGAACGTACCAAAACGTAAGTCCTTTGATACGTATATTTCTTTTCTTTACGTTTAGGTACATTTTTGCTGTTTGCGAATATATTTCAAAAATAAAAACTAAGTGCAAATTGCGCAAATATTAATTTAATGTAAACTTCCATTCGACCCAGCATTCCAGTGACTTTTCAAAAACCACAGACAAAGATGGCGAAACTTGATCTAAAAAAATGGCGGACCAACAAATATTTCCAATTGTAGAAGATGGGCATAAAACGAAAAGTGCAATAACTGAATGACTTGCAGACTCTTTCCCCTTTGTGACCTTTTGAATTCGTGGAATTTTACAATGCTAAATGTGGCAAAAATGGCACGAAATTGTGTACATTTTGTATTAAACGTTTGCAATTACATGATTATGTGCCTAATGTGAAAATACTTTCAATTCATTTCAATAAAAATGATCAAATAACACAATCGATTCCACTGTCGTTGCCGCTGTTGCCATGACGTTGCTGCCGGCTAAAATTGCGAAGAAAAAAAAACCAGCGGAAACGTCGGGAGCAACATGTATGTATTTGTGAGTGCCAATAAAACTATATACATATGTATATACAGTTGTATGAATGTATATGTACATACATATGTATGTGTATAATACGTAGACATTGTGTGCAAAACTTGTGAAATAATCTTCTGCACAACAACAAGAACAACGGCAATCATCATTTAAGGCTTACGCTCAGCTGTAACTTCTCTTTGATTTTATCAATAATTTGGGAAATGTTCATGATTAAGAAAAAAAATTGTTGCTCCTCTCTTTCTACTTAATAGCCTGTTCACAAAAAATAACTCACGTTTTTTTTATTTTTTATACGTTCAAGTTTAGCGACAAATTAGTTGGTTAATTAAGCGCGCTGATGCGAACCTTTTTATTTCTATAGCTCGATGAAAACCGGGACGTCCACTCCGCTCGACTACTTTATGCGAATAGTTAGTTTATTCAAAAAGCACGCGAAACGAGCTGCCGAGCTCACCGATTAAAGTATGTAATCGGAATAGATTCAGCGAAAAGAGAGCGCACTCTTCGGCATGAGCTTGCCAGTATGACGGTTTGCGAGAATGGAGAGAGCGCAATACGTGAAAAACACATGACGACCTTTAACTTAAGATGCAGCAACAGACCAGAAACTGTCCTGTGCAATTTTAATAAAGCTAAACAGCTAAAAGTAAAATTTTGCTATTTATATGCATGCAACTGCAAGCGTTAGAATACTTGATAAAGCTTTAGAAATGTTTTGCTTGCGATATGGCAACTCTGTGCTATTTGGCGGTATAGGTTGCTTAATTTTCATTTCAAGTAACTTTTACTGTGAAAGTTCGCTAAAGTGAACAAATTCAATTTCGGTTTTATGTAAAATAGTACATTGGCGAATTTCTATATTGCATGTATAGATATGCGTAAATGCACCATACGATAAACAATTCGTCCACACATGTGTACACACATTGTAAGTCGAGCCACAAATGAAGCTGTTGTAATGCCTCTGTGATGCAACACCTAGTCAGCTGTTCGCGATAATCGGGGCATCGAACTGTTAGACAAATGGAAGCTAAAATTCTATCAGCTGACAAATCCATAGAAGACGATGGCGAAATTCATGCAATCTGATGTAACTCTTGCATACATCACTGTAATATATGTATACATACATATGTACACATATGCAGATCTCAAGAAGTAAAGAAATGAACATATGTAATTTGTTTTTAGATAATGTTATTATAATACAAACAGAAAATACGAAATTTTGCACCACAATACAACTCTTACATAGTCAGCGACCGACCAACATACAAAATTAAACTTTAACATACATATCTGCAAGTTCCGGCAGTTATTGCGAAATAATGGTGGGAGGTACTCTCGTTACCGCATCGGAACTGATTCACTGTCGTTCTTTCTGATAAAATTGGACTGGAGTCTGTACATCTGTGCAGCCAACTGGATTGGAATCATTCTGTATTGACCAATCAATGATCAAAATGTCGCCAGACCAGACCGATTTGACTGTTGGAATTGGTTAGGTTGGTATCTGACCGATCAGCTAGAGTTGCATTGTGCGTCTGACTATCTGCTGTAGTGTGTGTGAATATGGGACGCATGTATATGTATATATATATACATATATATATACTTATATATAAGCGTTCGTATTTATGTTTGCAGCTTATTATTTTAAGCCTAATCACAGGAACCATCTAACCAGCCGTCACGCCACCTCTCATTCACTTTGCTACAATCGAAGAGTGGTTTACCAAGCTTGTCGTTAACTCGATTATGAAACTTGCACAACCACATTGCCAAATCCTTTTGTGAATTAACATTTACTGGATTCACTTCAATGCTGCGGGATATACAAAATAATATGGTCACTTTTTGCACCTGCAGCGAGTCAAACTGATTGCACTTACTCTGAGCGAAAATCTTTGGCACAATACTCGCATGGGTATAAACGCGAGAGTACTTCGAAAAACGTACGCATATCTCGTTTTTCTGTGTCCGTGGGATTATCGGAATAAAAAGCAGCCATGGTATGCAGTAGGCCCCAAGTAGATATGCCAAGACGTACCTTGTCCAAGGGGCAATCTTCTCGGGGTGCGGCGACGCCGGCTGCATTTACGGTTAGCTTTTCGCTTGCGGCTATATGCTTTTCCTGCGAGACAGAGATATGTATATATAGAGAGAGAGAGAGAGCAGGTATGTGCGTATTTTTAAGTCGCGAGAAGAAATCGAAAACTAAAAGCATTAAACGGACATACCTTAGCTGCTTGCGTATTTGATATAAGGCGCTGCTGTTTGGACCATGACTTGAAATCGTTGCATGTGCGACAATTGGTATCCGGTTTTCCATTTCGATGCACGTTATATTGCGCACCATCTACCGGTGGTTCTGGTTCCGCTGGCTTCTGCTGAAATGATGATTTTGACATCCTGAAATCGGGATCACGCAAAATTCGCAAAACAGTTTTTTGTAGACGGCGTATAATCAATCGGGCGCCCTCGCGATTAGGAGCTACCTTACTTTGATAGCTGTGACGTCGAATGAATTCTTTCCACATGGGCAGTCAGCTGCTTACCGTCAACGCAAATTTGAGACGTTCTTTATTCTGTTAATTTTTTTTTAACAGCGATGTATTCAACGCCAATTTTTCTGATTTGACTAACGCAATATTGAGGCACTGTTAATGAACATCGCTGCAGGTCGTTGTTGCTACTAGCTGCCAAAAGTCTGGCAGCGCTGCTAAATTGCCACAAATATCTTCGATTAGTGCGCGTTAATTCAAATCGCAGATTTTTCCTCTTTCGTGTGTTTTTTTTTAACTAAGACGATAATTCCAAACTACACAAAATAATTTTTTGATACTTTTTCCATTTCTCTACGTGTCTGTGTGTATGTGAGGAAAATAAAAAACTACATTAAACGAAAAGCCGTACGGCGAAACATAATTTCGTGTCTATTTGTACGCTTGTAGATTTTAAGTTACAAAACTCCATATTTAATTGTCAAGGCACTTTTATTATTTGTTGGTTTTAATACAATCAAAAATGTATATAAAATTCATTTAGTAACAACTACAGTTAACAAACGTGTTAGATGCACACACGTACACACGTACACATACAAATATATTAAAATATAAATAGTTAGGTAAAGTTAAATTGCATCTACATGCATACATTAATAATTTATGTATAACAAAACTGATTAGAAATTAAGAGAAAAAAGTAGCAAATAAGTTGGCATTTAAGCATATTCTTTAAACGTGCTAAACAAGCTGTAAAGCACACGCAGCGTAGACTTTAAATCCATATTGACAATATCTTCGGGCCTGGCCTTTGGCTTTGGTAGTCCCACATCCTGCATTAGATCGAAAGCAAATGCAACATTGCTAACCATTTGGTCAACGTCCTGCGGCGTTAAATGAAATTCGTGCAGGGGCACAAAGAATCCGCCCAGGAGTCCCATCAACAAACACAAATAAACGCCATCTCGAAAATCGGTGTTCAAATCGTTGATCTCAAAGTTAAGCTTGGCCAAGTGCTTGTTGACGAAAGTAATTAGAGATTTCTTTACGACGACCAACTTATCGGGCGCACAATCTATTAACGTATCGAATGCATCCTTTTCACAGCGCATACCCAAGTCATCGTATTCCGAGGTGATTTGCTCCTGGAATTTTCTGTAAATCAAAATTAAAGCGAAAACAACGTATGGAATATGAAGACACACGGGCAAGTCTTTCACTCACTGTGCATTCAGAACACCCGCATTCTTCTCGGCTATGACCACGGTGACGAAAACGTTCTCTGGCAAACGTACAGGGGCACGGAAATGTCGCACTAAAGCAACCAACAGGTGCAATATGGCAACAATGTTCTTGGAGTGAACGCTAGCCACCGACCATTTGGGTATTTTCTGATGGAAGCCAAGGGTCTGCAAGCAATATACGTTATTTTTTCATTCGCCAAGCTAATTGTTTTTGTTGCGGCATCCACTCACGTGATTAACGGCCTTCAGCACAATGTTTAGTTTCTCGTGTTGTCCCTGTTCCGATTGTGTTACCTCTGGCACATCCAATTTTTTACCCGTTAGCTTTTCCCACAGCTTGTGCAGCACTTGGCCATCGTACATATCCTCCTCCAGTTGCTGGACAATGATGCGTTGTTCCGCCAGCTCATCGTTAATCCAGTCGATAAGGATTCTTTGCAGCTTGAGCACTTCTGGATCATTAATCGATTGCGGATCAATCACGGCGCGTTGCTCATGCTCACCTAACGGTTCGGATAATACAAGGTATACAGACATATTCTATCGATAATTTATTTGATCACTTACGCAGTGCATAATCCTCGGGCGGTATATCGAACTGATTGGGCGAGCCAGGTGAGTCGATTGCATATTTGCCTTCTTCCTGGAGTTTCTTAACTGTAAAAGACACAAATTGGAAGAGTAGATATGAGTGAAAAAGCAATAGCGAAAATGTAAACAATAACTGGTGACGTCACCAATGTGACGAGGCCACCGATATCGTTATTTGAAAACAAAATAAAAAATTAGCTCTGCTGACACATTGGAAGGGAAAAGCAAAATTTGTATTGATAATAATTTACCTACACTAAATAAAAATAGTTCTCTGTTATAAACGCTAGTTTGAGTGCCCTAACTCAAATGAACACACACACAGTCATATACGAGCATACACACCTACAGCTAACAACCGATCAGTCTGTTCGTTTGTATGCGTCATAAATGCAAATGACGCAATGTTTTTTTTTTTTTATTTAGCGCACAGAGATTCAATGCACATCTGTTAGCAGTAGTCAGTGCAATTGGCGGTTGCTTGGGTACATCATAGCACGAATAAATACATAGTTGTAGGCGCTTATTGAATAAATCGCATCAGTTTATGTTGTCACCATATTTGGCCGTATTCTGCAGATTTCACTGAACTATTCCGTTTCGCTGGGGTGTAGGGGCTTATCGAGGGGAATGGTGGGGGTTGATCTAGCTCACCTTCTCGTGTGCCGCGTTTGCGACCAAGTGTGCTGAATTTTTCCCAGATGCTATCCTCCTTTTCGCCCTTCTTAATGGCTGTGGGCGTATGCGGAGACTTGGGGCGATTTAATGTCGACATCTTTGTGTGTGCGCAACGCAAACAAAATACAAGCAAATAAAACAGAACGAACGCCGTGCGACAGAGCAGCAAGACACTCGATTGACTGGATTACCGATAAACTTTATCTCTACTTGTATTTGGTGTCATCGACATAATTAATCGATACTTAACGTGAAATCCTTAAATGTTAGGGGCTCTCCAATAAAATATAGAACATATATAACTAAATGTAATTGATAAATTAAGGAATGATCGACTAATGTTTGTTATTTAATTGCATTACGGATATAAGGTACTTTTTATAGTATTTTTATCCAAACTATAGCAAATACAATAAAATGTTGATTATTTGTGGCGCTGCAAAATCGAAATTCATAGTTTAATTGGTCGTTTAAATATACTGCGATTAATAATAAACGGATCTATATTTAAAACAGTCATGTATTTGATTTTTTATAACTCTCTTATATTAATATATAACTTATGATATACATTTCAGGGGGATTTTATATATAACTATATAGTATAGGCCTTTTAAATAGAGTTGGGCAACTGGCAAGCGCGCACTGCTACCAGTTGGAGCAGTACAAAAATTGGTGAGAAAACTTCACTGTACTCAAGTCCTGTTTTGCCTGATAACTTTAGACATAACAAATATTTGAAGATCGCGATAAGTACAAGGAAATAAGTGCTCCACATGAACCGATGCAACGCCTTCCGTTTGTTATCTGAATCTAAATACATGCGTATGCCAACAATAACGCAAAAATAGGCATTGCAAATATCAATAAAGAATAATGGACTGAATATGGTAAACCAATCGCACATTACCTCTGGCAAGACATTATTCAATGTACCAGAGATCTTGAAGGCCAGTGAGATGGTGAAGACGAGCAGTCCGCACAGATTAACTAAAATCTCGAATTCTGTTAAGCCAAGCCAGCGCACCAGCTCCGATAGTTTAAACATGATTCTCTCTACTTATGTTTCTTTTGTGGCTTCTTGGTGTTCGCTTCTGTGCAGCTCGACTGTGCTGGTAGCTTGGGTACCACAATATCGAACAGATTATGATTAAAGATTTTGATGTGCAATGCGGAATTGTTGCGTTGTCTATATGTTATATCGTCCTCATCACAAAGTGGATGCAGTTCATCCACTAGCTTGATAGTGGATGTGTTTATTGCGTAGCTTAGAGCACCGTCCGAGTTATCGATAAGTCGCAATGCCAAAGTAAGCCCACGTGTTATCGAATAGCCCATGCAGTGCAAAAAGATTTCCTTAGTGCCCGCATTCAACAGATCCTCGCATCGTTTTTGCTGGGCCTATGCAGTAAAGTGATTAATGGATAATGTTTACAGCGAAATGTATTGCTTACCTTAAAGTCTGACTTGCTTGTAATATAAATATTATTTTGCTTGTCGTTTGTTGCACGAGGCGGAGGTTTTCGTACAATACGTTGGTTTTGTTGTTTGTTGCGATTGCTTTTTGGCTTTGCACCGCGTTCTGATAGATGACTGTCCATTATCAACAGCCACTAAAACCAATAATCAGTGTCCCATGCTTTGTGACCGTGCACAAAACATTTAACTATTAAGACTTCACTTGAAGAAAATGCAAAACACGACTAGCAATGATAACGATATGTGCATAATGCATTGCTGTATGCTACAATTAATAAATTGCACGGAAGATGGCGCTCAAATCTGGCAGTCTGCTGGAGGTGAGCGCAGCCGTATTGCTATAAAATTAACGGCAGGTGGCGCTCTAAGTCATCTGGCAACCCTGCTTTAGCTGTCACTTTTTTGACATTTACTCGATATTTGTATAACATTTTTTTTCGTACATCTCGTATACTATCGTCGATTGGTTCGTGCTCGTAACACAGCTAGAATTATCCAGCAGTTGAAAAATTTTCATTGTACTTTCCGTAATAACAAAGGTATGTTTTTTTTTGCAACAAGCACAACAACAAAAATCGTATCATCAGTACGCAACTAAAACAAATTGTAAAACAGTGACACAAAATATTGTATTTATGCAACAACATACACACGCAAACAAATATTTGTCATAAGTTCACAAATACACATTCCTACTTACACATACACATTTTCAACGCCGCTGGCTGCAAAGGCTTGGGCAGCAGGCAAAGAAAAAAATTACATAACTCCTAATTAATTTGTATTACACACAATTTGCTGAGTTTTCATCTTTTGGTATAAGAGTAAGATAATAATATAAGCTAAAAAATACAGTCGGAAGTTCTTTAGACGTTAGTTACATAAGTTCGGATTGTAAGTTGAAACGCAATTTTCGATGCAGCCCCGTTAAGTATCTCGTATCTGTATTCTAACCACAAACGAATATATCTAAAAAAGTAAGAAAAAGAAAAGTAAGGAAACGAGAAAATGAAGTAATTATTATAAACAATCTTCTTGCACAGCGCATCTGATTCAAGTAACGTTTTGTATTCATGCGTTCAAGTTCATTTTTCCATGCAGGGCAAACAAAAAACCGCTCCCAACCGATTTCAGTTAAACAGTTACAAACATCAGCAAAGCAAGCACAAAATAAAACTTATTAATCGCACGCGACCCAACGCACCAGATCGCGCGAACTTCGTTTCAAGCTCCAGCTGCAGCCAGGCAAGTTCAGCCAGAAAAAGTGTGGCAATACTTTGCGGATATCTACAGCAACAACAACAACAAACATCAAAACATCACGGCGAGAACTGCGGCGACAACGGCAAACGTGGGATAAAGCATACAAGTAAATTTTACAATTCCTTATTACCAAACAATCAATCAAAAATGATCAATCTAATCAAGTAAATTGCAATTGCATAAGGTTATGAATTACGGTTCACATTATTCTAATTGCCTTAGATATCAGAGTGACCATATATGTCTTCTTCATCAGCTTTAAAACCTGATCCTGTGAGTGTGTGATTTTTGTGGTCCGCTTGCAGTTAATCAGACACGCATACAGTAAAATGTTCCTTCATGTGCTCCTAGTGATAGCACAAAATGAAAGTTTGCCGCGACTCTGTATGGCAACTCTGCCATCAGCGATAGAGATTGCAAGTTGTGTGTGCGTGTTGCCATCGACTATTACAATAGCACATGCATAATGCATGAGATAAAAAACGAATAAGAATATGGTCACCCAGGCAAAGAGAAGCAGGCAAATTGTAAATCATAACATATAAACGAATCAATCAAATCACGACTATGTTTTTGAAATTGTTGGCGACAGAGCAAAAAGGCGTCTCCATGACGAGAATCGTTTATATTGTATATAGGTATAACGACAAAACTGCAATTGTTTGAATTTAACGCGGCACAGTTTGAATTGCAGATCGTCATACGTCGCTTTCGCCGAACGGAAATGTCTGCGGCACGTTTACCCTATTATCAACAGCAGCAGCAGTCCGGGGAGCATCAGCAGCGGCGTGGCGGGGGACAGCGTTGCGTTGGCTATCAGGATCGTAATAGCAGTCGACGCAGCGAGCGTCGCTATAGCCGCAGTCGTAGTCGCAGCCGGAGTCGTAGTCGCTCCTTGGAGCGCCAGCGTCGTCGTCATCATTATCAGTCACATCATCATCATCGTCATCGTAGAGATTCACGTGATCGTCAGAAGGAATGGGACAGAGACTACTCGAGGCGCAGTTATTACCAACGCCAGAGTCGCACTCCTAGTCCAACGTCAGGTTCCTCCGCCTCCGCCTCCGCCTCCGCTTCAACAGGAACAGGAGCAGAAACTGCATCAGCACGTCGTGCCCATAGTAATGGAGGCAATAAAATGAACGCCAAGGATAATACAATGTCTGCCGTGGGCGCCTATTACAATCTCGATACGGATGAGCCATTCGATAAGGAGCGTATACATCGTGAAATCGAAGCAAAACTACGCGAGACACTCGCACGAGAAGGCAAAGTGTATCCACCGCCGAAGCCAGAGGCATCGCATCCCGTTTTTGCCAACGATGGCTCCTTCATGGAGCTGTTCAAGAAGATGCAGGGTCAACAGGAAAAGCAGCAGCAGCAGCCAACAGGAGATGTAGCTGCGGCAGCAGCCACTGCAGCCCCTTCAGCAGTAGCCGCTACAGCAGCAGCTGCTCTTCGCGATCAGCCACAGTCGCTGTTGGAGCCCAATCCAGTTCTCAGTCCATTTGGTGCTCTGCCAGCGATTGCTGCAGGCGCTGCCAGTACTCCAGCTGCGCCATATATAGCCGCTGCAGCGACTGGCAAATCGGCGCCACCGCCACCAATGGTTGGACGTCGACGTGGTGGCAAAATCTTAAAAACGGGCGTCGTTGCCAAATTGAAGACGCCCAGCGAGCGAGATGTGGATCCAAAGGACTTTTGGTCATTGTATTTGGCTGAAGTAAACAAGTACAAGAGCAACGCCTGCGATACGGACAATGGCAAAAGACCCCTGGTCAAATAGTCTACGAAACACATCCATATCCACATCCACACATACACCTACATCTACACAACCCCATACACACACATACACATATATATATGCGGTTTACGCACAACAAACGAAAATATGAACTTGAACGCAGGCAAAAAAAAAAAAAATTTTTTAAATTAAAACATTCACAAAATGCAATAAACACAACCAAAATAATTGGTTGCCAAAAATACAATCAGATATATATATATATAGGTATAAATGGTTAAGTGTTTGATACGAATCTAAATATGTACTAACTGACTTTGTGTGCAACTTGCAACACATTTAAATGATGGGGATAATCTGAAAAGAAACATAGTCTAGTGATAAGAAATTCAGTATAATCTTAGATGTATAATTATTTAGATTAAGAGCTAGATTGTACAGATTTCTATACTTAAAAACTATATATATCTAAAGATAAAGCTCAGCACATAGTGTGTGTAATTACTTATAAAGCAAACAGAGTCCAGAATTTAGTATGCCTTATATATCTATCTATCTATCTCTCTCTTTTATCTTTCTAATTTTACGCGCTCGACTGAAATGAAATTCGACTTGAATTGAATTGCATCTTCGTTTATGATATAATTAATTATAATAATTGCAATATTATTATTCTAATATACATTTTTATATGATTCATTTACATTTATCTATACTTATCACAACAACCAATTTCATCTACATTTTCAATCATCCTCTGTTACTTTCGTTCATCTCTTTGCTTTATAACGTATATTTCAATATTTATATCTCTATCGACATGAATTCTGCCTCTCTCTCTCTGTCTGTGATACTTCATTCCTGGTCAATGTTGACTATATATGATATATCTCTATCTGTCCTTCACTATTCCTTACTGAATAACTGTAAACTTCAACTATTTTCTATTGTAATATTTTCTTTCTGTCTACTTTGACTCTCTCTATTTCTGTCTATATTGCCTTCTTTTTCTCCGAACTCGCTCTCTCTCTCTTTGACTCGGCTCATCCGAGAACTCTCTATTCTCACTCTCTCTCTGTCATATTTGCTTTCATTATTTTATCATTTAACACTCAATTCATCACTTTCTGTTGGCTTTTCATTCGTTGTTCGTTGTTTTTTGGTTTTGTTTTGTTTACTCTAAAAGTTCGTTTATGCAATTTTTCATGTCGAAATCGAAAAACAGCGATAAATCAACAACAGTTGACACGATGTCCGCCTACAAGTTGGAGACAGCCCCCTTCGATCCACGTTTCCCCAATCAGAACGTGACCAGATATTGCTATCAATCCTATTTGGATTACCATCGATGCCAGAAGAAGCGCGGCGAGAACTTTGAGCCATGCAACTACTTCAAGAAGGTCTACAAGTCGATGTGCCCCAACGCCTGGGTGGAGAAGTGGGACGATCAGCGCGAGAGCGGCACCTTCCCCGGTCGTATCTAAGCAATATATATAGGAAGTTACACTCTACCTACCTAACAACCAACAACTACTGCAACCTATTCCTACACAACAACAACAACAACAACAATAGCTTATTATGCTAGTTAAAGAAAAAAGAGAACAACAACAAAGCGTTTAGGAAAAGGCAACAAAATACAAATTGTTACAAATTAATTCAACTAGTCGGTTGTTTGTTTCTTCTTCTGTACACACACACACACACACACACACGCACACACATGAACATGCTTCTATATAGCTTTTTCGATCTATGCTATATAGTAGATACACGACAACAGAACGTGCCGACAAATTAAGTGTATTTGATCAATAAAATGTGAAGTACATTGACGATAAGAAAGGAACTAACTACATGCATATATATATATATATATATATATATATGTATATATGAATAACTGTATATATGCATATATCAATGTATATAGATATCTATAACAGCCATCAGGCGATCAGCTGTGCATAAATAGCATTATGAACTTTGAACGTTGTCCAATTTTTCAGAATACAGTTAGGCAAATGAGTTATCGATAAATGGAGCAGCGTCAACTGCATTGGAATATATAGCATATACATATGTATATCACGATCAAGTGACCAATATCTTGCGTCAAATCAATGTAGCCTAGGCTTTGAAGCTAATATTCCATTAGTTTTCATAGCTCTGTATACGAAATGGTATCTGTAGTAGTATCAGATTGATTAGAGCGTGCGATTCGTGATGCCAGAGTGAGTTATCTAGGAAGTATCCGTAGACCAAATTTTATGCAGTTGGACAGGCTATGGTTCACTAAACAAAACTCCGCTTTAGGAATCTTTGCTGCAAAGATAGCTCCATATGTGAGCTATACAGTTCTTGTATGTGGAAATAGAATAGAAGGCTAGCCCGTAGGGGAAGATAACATATCATCAAATAAAATTCGAGGCAAATCTACTTTCGTTTACAGGTCACAGGTGAGTTATCTAGGAAATATTCTGGGAGCGTCTTTCTATGCTTCACAAGTATACGTAGACCAACAGTTGGCCGAGCTATGGCTCCAGAAACCTGGAATCAAAGATCTATATGACTTAACCCCAAGTAAACAAGGGATTTTTCGACTTGAGCTGCCATGCTTCAAAGGCTACAGATATTGGATGCATGTTGACCCACTTAATTGGCATTCATATGCAAAATTTAATGTATCTAGTTAAAGTAAAGCTCGAGTTGTGCTGAAGTTGGACCCTACCTATTTTTGATGGTACATGAACAATTGGCAGAGCAGTTATCCTTAGCAAAAGTTGTGGCAGACAGAAGACCGGAGTGGAACCCAAGCACCTTCATATATTTACAGGGTATTTATGCTCTGACGATCTGTTTTGGTTTTTTCTTTCGTTCTTTATTAGAAACATGTGCTTAGCCAATGCTAGATTATATATATATATATTTTTTTTTAAATTTTTTCTTTTTATTAACTTTTTATCTTATTTTCTTTGCATTTTTTATTCGTATTAATTTTTTCCATTTATTTATTTTATGTTAATTTTCTTTGCGTGGTTTTTATGCTACTTAGTATTCCATATAAAATGGGGCCTTGTGTTAATATTAACTATTTATCGATTTTTCGCAACTCTTGTTAGACAACAGTTATTTTTGTTATATATATGTATATATACATATTTCAATATTATTATTTTTATTTTATTTACTCAAATGTTTACGCATTCTTTAGGGCTTCGAATAAAATGGACAAAAAATTTAAAAAACAAAATTTTTAATATAAATAAAATTAAATAAAAAATTCCATTTTAATTGCTTAATTGTCCAAACCGTTTTAACAAATTGCGGACGGCAGCAAATTTTGTTGGTTTTGGCTATCTCATTTGACATGCGGCCTAACATGCATGCTAAGCCCCATGTCAAGTGGACTGACTGACAGTGCCCAAATTGTTGCTCAAAAGAATCCATTTGCGTTTTTTGTACTGCGAATCGTAGGCTTAAAACTAATCTTAATTCTCTAATCAAAGCTAAAATTGTATATTCTCTCTTTTTTTTGACTTTTAGTTTTAAAATATTTTTCTTACTCTTAGTAAGTTTCCCAAACTCAAGCTTTGTTTATTTTCTTTTACATTTTTCATACATTTTTTGCTTATTTGTATTTAAATTTTCTTTTTTTTTTTAGTGAATTAGATTTTACTCTAAGTAAATTCTCTAATCCTCAATTTTACAATATTTATTTTTTATTATATATATTAATTACGTTTTTTTTTTTAGGAAATATTTTATATTTTGGCTCAGTAGATTCTCAATTAGTTTCTTTTTTTTACTTTTTCATTCATTACTAATTTTTTTTTCAGTTAATATTTTGTGGCTTACTATTAGTAAACTTATTAATCAGATTTTGCTTAAATTTTTATATGGATTTTTAATTAGTTTTATATTTCTTTCTGTTTTATTTTTAGTGAAAGAAGTGCTTATATTATTTGGCTTACTCTTAGTAAGTTTCCAACTGAAACATAATTTTGATTTTTTTTAATAGCATTTTTTATATATTTCAACTTTTGTAGTGAATTAACTTTCGGTTTACTCTGAGTAAATTTACGAACTGAATTTTTGTTTTCCATTGAATCTTGAACTTGAAAACTTGGAGAGCTGCTTTTGTGGACATAATTGATTGTACTTAATAGGTATATAACTAGATATAATTATGGAGTACTTGATCAAAAATCGAAGGAAACATCAGTTGTTAAGTAGTAAATGCCATATACTTAGTGTACTATATATATTTATATCTATGTCTCCATAGATATTTGTAGAGTTTCTTAAATTGAAAAACTTGCGAAAACTTTGATATATATATATATATATATACACACATATCTGGCTATATATATGTGATATATAGGTTAGTTAAATGCCTTTTAGTATAATTATAACACAGATATATAAAAATCAGTAGTAAATGTTTTTAGTTTCCAGTTTAAAGAGAGCACACAAGGAATACGCGAAACTTAGCTTAAAATCTATATAATATGCACGTTAGATATATACTATATATATAAATCTCTACCATATATAGCTTAGTGTGAAGAGAAACAATGCTTTACTCGAACTGGACCAACCATTACGTTTCCACATAACCTTACGATCACGTACTTACATATATCTCTATTTGAAGAGCGCTCTCTATATGTGCGGCGTAAGTGTTACCTGATCGGTAATACTATATATTCTTGACTATTCTAGACTCGTTTAGCTGCTAGTAACATCTTGTTTTTATTTTCTTTCTTTCTGGAGAACAAACATCCTATGTAGTTTATAGCTATAGATCAAAGAAGATCGTTCTAGATCAGAGTGGATCCAAGCAGATCTCAATAGACCACACCCTCTAAGGGCCGTGCAATGCATAAGCCAGAGCTGAAGTATAAAGTGATTCTGTTTCTGGAAACTATAGCTAGATATTATCTATAGAGAAGTTTAGCGGATAACTTGTTCCAAAGGGACCTGGAAAAAGTTCTGTAGATTAATCAGATGTTATGGGAGCTATGTATAACAACACCGTATATAGATCTGTCTAGACAAAGGCATAGAGCTGACTAGGAATTCAGATATCATAGGAATGTCGAGTCTATTTAGCTCTAGTTTTTGCATATTCAGCTATTCAGCTTAAATTTTCAAATGTTGTTTAGGAAATTCGGCTATTCAGCGGAGGTTTTATAATATTTCTTTGCCTATCCAGCTATTCAGCTAAAGTCTGCTTTGGGTATTCAGTTTTTCAGCGAATGCTGATCATTCAGCTACTCAGCTGGGGGTTTCAAAATCTCTTATAAACCACCGCTAATCAACTGACTTCTTTATGATTGTTTATCAAATTTAGCTTTCACCTAATTCACTTATTGAGCAGTTCTGATTTTCACTTATAGTCTTCGGCTATAGTTTCCAAACATACTTCATTGACTTTTCAGCTCTGTACTCCCCCAATTTATATATTGCATATTATCTCAATAGTTCTGTCATATCTAAATTGTATTTTTTTTTTTTTTCAAATTCTATGAAGCTTATTTATTTCCAACTGAGATATTTTTGAAATATCTTCTTTATGTTTTGATTAACCAAAAACAAGTTGCATAACCCAGACCTATTCTAACCCACTACTCCCTTCTCTCTCTCTCTCTCTCTCTCTTTCTCTATCTGCCTCTATCTCTTTCCTTCTGTTTTAGTTAAAGCTTCTTCAAAGTTTTGTCTTGATCAAAGTTTCTCCTCCTCCTTTTAGCTACATGTCTCCGCTATCCCTAGCCGTAAGTTCTGCTCCAGTTTCTGCCTGCGTCTCGCCCCCTTCCCCCGACCCATTACCCACCTGTCACGCCCCTCACTCCAGTGCCCCCTTACGGATATAGTTACATGTAGCTATTGCTTGTTTGTTATCCAATGTCGCGCACAATCTCGATCTTGTCGCACAGTTCCGGATCGTGAATGGTCGTGAAGTGTGTGCGATCGCTCCGGAACGTGTTCCGCTCATTGGAACTAGTTTTAATGGAACGTTCCGACGGCGTCTCCGTGCCGCTCAGCTGAATGCGCTTCTGCAGAGCCGACACAAAGTTCTGAAACGGTCAAATGAGAAAAGTTAGCGATGAAGTGGATCGAACGAGACCCGACTGCACGAATATGCCTGTCCTCAAGTTGCGAACTCACCTGCGAGATGATATCGCCGCGTGCCGTGCGCACCTGATACAGATAACGGAACTTGCGCTGCCTGGCCTCCTCGCGGGTCTCGCGAGTGCGCGACTGCGATCGGCGCATCGGCACATGGGGATTGCCGACGCCCGCGGCGCCCGGTGCCGGCTGGCCATGGGGCAGATGATGATTGCCATGCGGATGCTGCGGATGGTGTCGCATATAGAGACGCTTGCGATGATCCACGCGCCAGGCGGTGATGAAGCACTGCACCATGATGCTGATCACAATGGTCAAGGGCCACGCGGTTATCAAGAGACCGCCATAGCAGGGCGGCGGCAGTGGATGCGGCTTCATGCTCAGTATCCAGTTAATTGTCTCCAGGCTGTGCATGAAGTAGTCTATGGCGCCGATCACCATAGCCGTGCCCACAATGCTCGAGGTCAGTATCGTCACATACTTGACGCAGCACAGCGTCAGCACCGAGCAGATGACGGCACCACCGACCACAGCCACATAGATCTCGCGATACTGGAGAGGGTAAAAGAGAGAGAGAGAGAAAGAGAGGGCGATATATAGATTAGTAGACGTAGACGAAGAGTAGCAGACATTTTTGCAGAGAGAAAGAGACGGTGGGAGATAGAGAGAGAGAGAGAGAGAGAGGGGGGGAGAG